TTTTACTTACGTAACAGTAACTCGCGAGAGGATGAGAGAAAGAGAGAGTCGCGTTTGAAACACTGCGCTCTAGCACAATGGTAATGGACACAAGAGTGGATGGTAATTGAGTTAACGGGCTATGTAATAGCGGATTCAACGTGTCAAATTGTTTTGTAGTCGCTTTACGAGCCGTTCTTAAGCATTTTGCACCCTGTTCGTTACGCGGAGATGAAATACGTTGATAAACTCTACGTAAAAAGGCGCTTATTTAAAGAAATTTCTTCTATATCGAGCAAAACATTCTTAAACGCTCTTTTGATTCATTCGCACACCTTCCTTTATCATTTTTTTTTTTTTAACGGTGGAATAATGCAAAATTTAATACGCGCGTCGATACGCAAAATAGTTTAATTTAAAATTTTCTTGTTCGTCACGGTATTCTCGTTCGATCTCAGTACAACATCACTTCCTTAAAGCCGGTAAAGTCGACCACGACGAACCGCGCAATCGCTGTGGAATGCATTCGAAAAAGGTTGCAGGAGAAAACGTGTTGCAGGGTTGTAAGATGAAACTAGCAGGTGATCATCGGCGGGAATCGCGGCCGCGGCGCGGCGGATCGTGATTCCGTGCCCACCTGAAAACAATAAACGGCCTGGAGGCTGCTGCTCCTGGGACAAGAAGGAAGAAACTTAGGCCGGGGCTCTCCGGAGTGAAAGTGCACAATAACAAACCATCTCGGTTTGTGTCTGCGGGGGTTTCGCAAGATCGCGCCGTGATCTTTTCCACGGCGCGCGGCGGTTCTGTAACTTCAAGTCGCGATAATTAGCGGCTGCGGCTACTAAGTGATTATACGAATAAACGGGGAAACTGAGAATCCATTAGTCTCTCCCGCGGGAAAGAATCGTGAGAAGAATGTATGTTGTACTCGGGAAATCTCTCTCTTATCAGCGTTACCGTAAAACCATCTCTGAAAGAGCGGAAGACTAACATATCGGAACATAAATTCTAGACCGTCATGATTTGCAATGCGCTTCTGGCTTATAGCTCGGTTGCGAGCGCCGAGTATGCTCGTCTGGCCGACGATTAGTCTGGCGTGATACTGATAAACTATGAATTCCGGCAGGTTTTCTTCCTGTTATGAATAACCTTACAAAACTCATATTTTTATGCGAAAATCTTGGAATTCATTTAAAATTTTTATGCTATTCATAGAAAAACTGTGAGTTTCTGTAAGAAAAAATAAATCAAATAAATAAATTTTTAATTGACTATGTGTTTCTTTGAGCTCCGTCGAGTTTTGCTGAAAAATAGCAGCATTCTTTAATTCAAATAAAAACATCTTTTCTATGATAGACTATCTCCTCTCTCAGAAACAATGATCTAAAATGAAATACGTTTGTGAGAAAATCTTAGAGGCGTGTAGTTCTATCGCTCATGCATAGTTTGCTTAGCACTATTATGTCTTCTTATTCAATCAAAATACGTAACGTTAAATCTTAATTCTGCCTTGTCCGAGTCAGTTCTGGGCGAGAAGAAAAGTCCATCCATCAATCAATGATTTTTACAATTAGCGCATACCGCGGCGATAGCCGTAGTCATTGTTATGTAACAGCGGAATTACACAGTTAGACATCCACTGAGCGCCAGCGCGCATCTGTCTTTATCAAGCGAGGAGCGCAGGCCGGCGATCGGAATCCGGTAGTTTCGTTCACCATTAACGCGTAACAATCCGAACGTCTTTGATTGATTTCCTTGCTCGGAGCTAATGAGCATCGCGCTCGGCTCGAATCGACGCACGGCTGGGAAAACGGAAGGTCCGAAACGAGCTCACGATACAACGGGTCCGATTGCGTAATGATTTCTGAATGCACGACATCGGCGTCCCCCTACGCTCTTTGTTATCGCGTGCTTCGATATCGTGAAGGCGAGACACACGAGCATCCGTATGGTCATATACAGGGTGCTCCGATGTATATTACATGCGCCTTGTCGAGCTAAGGATGTCCCTTTTGTGACAGGCTTGCAACGAAATACCGAATTCTGGCGCAACTATTGTCTTCGTTATTTAAAAAAAAAAAAAAAGTGAAATTACTTTCTTACTTTTTACTTTTTCCAATTATTAACGTGGTGAAATATTATTTTTAAAAAGGGATACGTAAAACTTGTTACCATGATTTAATAATAATAATTCATTAACATAAGAAGACGTGTGTTTATATGAAGAGTCATGATATATTAATGAAACTTGAGCAAATATCGATGTTCGTGACCTCCAACGCGCGCGTAACGCGCGTACAACTGGGCCCACACGCGTCTTTCACAGTCGTACAAATTGCCTCGTCAGATTAGAGAGGATCTGTTAATATTTTAAACGAACCTCTTATTCGGAAACACCCTGTACATAACGACGTATGGTTCGGTAGTTGATTAGATTTAAAAGAATGCCCCGTCACCTGCACTGTTGAAAGGAGACTAGGCCCCGGGAGCAACGGCGGTGGGGAGGGCTCGTGGAGACTGAGAGAAGGGATGGGGGATAAGCGGGGGGGAGGGGAGAGAGTAAAGGGAAAGGAGGTGCCGGAGTGGTGCCTGATCGTCAGCAACGAGAGGCCCGGGCATGAGGCCCCAGCGATCACTGACCGCTTTCGCCGATCCCGGCCGCCAACTAGCCACCTTTCAGCGGCGCGGCCATTGGGGCATCCTCCTGCTTAAGGTCCATTCACATCGCATCGCTAATCAAACCTGACAAAAAAGAATCGTTTCGTGGTGCTTACGGTCCCCGTAAAGTCGTGGAAATTGCCTTTATCGGTATGGGGCCGGCTACCGCCGAGATTAAAGAAGTTGGATTTATGTAATTGTCGATAACGGAATGCCCGAGTCGTCGGGATTAAAAACGTTAATGTTTAATCTTCGTGGGGACTATCAAGATATCGAACTAACGTCGACTCGCAAAATTAATGTCGTTAATGATAATTAGAGATACGCTCGCCTCATAAATTTCCGCGCGTAACAAAATTACTCGTAAATTAACAACGATTAGTATAATCCCACCCCTGCGGGGGATTAAATCAAGTTTGCGCGCGCAGGGCAATAAGATTCCTGATGCGTCTGTATCGTTCATTGAAGCGGTTACAGTAATTGGCGACGGGGGATGTATGTAATATCGGGCCCAAAAATTGCGTCTCGAAAGCCGGCGAAAATAATCTCCGGGAATGAAGTAACTCTTTCCCGGAAGAACTCGAGATATTTGTGTAATGAGAAAGAATGGCGCAAACTCACTCGAGATAATCGAGATAGTTAGCAGGTTGCAGTTTCGTTTTACGGCACGTGATACATGGTTAATCTGCAAAACATCGGACACCCGGGGAATAATATTACGGACGCTTATAGACGGCTAAAATGCAGTCCACCGTGGGCAATTACCAAGGCGAGAGGGAACTGGCGAAAGAGTGAAATATAATACCGACACACAAGCCTCGCGGCCTTGGTAAAGATCTTGTAATAACGATCAATGGATACGAATAAAACATACGTTTAATTGCGAAATCGGTAGTCTACCCATATCGTCGGCAATAACAATGGCGAAGATGAGATCTTGAGCTCTTCTCGAGTGAGCCATTACGTGTATTTCTACGAAGACGTACATTAAAATGTATATTAAAATCAAAGTAATTATAAGAAACGATGACACAAATGATATAATAATTTATAGATGATATAATAATTTATTTCGAATAATCGATTTTAATGGATGCGAACGTTGTATTTGGTCATTTAAAGTTCGAAGGAATGGAGCCTGTAGAATCGCTGATTTAAACGATGATGATGTCCGAAGGATCTTTTGCCAACAAGGGACCCTACTTCGAGCAGGTAAAGGTAACAAATCACTTTTCAACGATGGGAGATCAAACTACTAAGCACTGTTTTGTGAAAGGCGGAGTTCCCTACAAAAGACACCACTTGATACGATGTTACACACTATTTCCGACACAATGAATGTCTTTTTATGAGATCCTAGAATAAGGTTGTGAGGATTTTGAATGTTAGAATATTGTAAGAAATTAATCGAGCTTCAAGAAAGATCATGAACATACATAAGATCTTATTTTAGACTTGTAAATCAGAATTTCTTTTGACGATTTCTATATAATTATCAATTATCGTTTTCTTTGTGATTATTAAAGAACAAGATTTTCAAAAATGAAGATTTTGTTTAAAAGATATAAATAAGAACACGATCTATCTAACAAACACAAATATATGCGCACGTGGAAAAAATTTGTAAATAAAATAAAATTGAATGCATTATATGTATAATAATAATATAATGTATAAAAATTGAATTGCATAAAATGCAAACCGACATATGTCTTCACCAGAAGCAGATGATCGTGAGAGGTGCGGAAGAACGCAACGGAAATCCGCAAAAAGTATTTGCGAAGCAACGGAACAGTCGGAATACGAAACGGGATTCGCATAAAGGCATCGGGCAAACATCCTTTTTCGAGATCCCATTCTACGTGACAGAATCGTAGAAACGATGTGAGAACAGATGACGGCGTGGCAAGGTTTCGCGGACGGATCGAACGGCAATATGACGAAAGAATAGAAAGGAAGGAAAGAGGAGATGGAGGAAGATCGAGACGGGAGGGAAAGAGGGTAGAGGGAAAGAGAAAGATTGAGAGAAAGAGTGATGAGGAAAGCACGAGAGATGCGGGGAGTGCACGGTGCACGAAGAAAAGGAGAGAGAGAAAGAAAGAGGAGAAGGACGCGCGATGGAAAAAACGGAAAGGGGGGACAAGGAAATAAGAACGTAGTGGATGAAGGAAGCTGCAGATGCGGAGGAGCCACTGTAAGGACCTGGAGACTGGAGAGTGTACCTGTCTTGTTTTTATAGGCTTGCCAGAACGTCGGGACCCGGGTACCGGACGAGGACGAGGACGACGACGTCGAGGACGACGACGGCGACGACGACGACGACGACGACGACGGACGACGACGAGGAGAAGGCGAGGAATCAAGGTGGGAGAAGGAAGGACGGCGCGGAGTGGTGAGCGGTGGAAGGTGGCAGCCGGGGGATCGGCGACGGCAGGAGGGAGAGGGTAACGGAGTCCGCCAGGGCCTTACAATCCTCCGCCAACCAGTCCTGGTGGAACCGTGGGCCCTATCGGAGTCCTGCACGCGCGCGCGCCGTACCCGCGCAACGGTGACTTTTCGTTGTCCACGAGATTTTTTCTCACCGTCGAAGAGGCGATAATCTCGGGGTCGCTGAACCTGTTTCTCTCTTCTCTCCTCTTTCGCGAACGCGTTTATTTCGTCCCGTTAACGCGCGCGCGCATCGTTTGTCCAAACGATTCGTTCTCTTTCTCTACGAGACGAATCGCCGAGGATGAGACCGCCAGGATCGTAAGGCGCAAAGAGCAAGGTGCAAAAGGTCGATCGTCGACCGAGGCGAGGAGAGACAAGAGAGAGAGAGAGAGAAAGAGTGATATGGATGACGTGATGAGGTGAAATCGCAGCAACTCGTGGTGGTTTAGATGGATCGACGCCGGTTTCACGAGACGCACCAGTGGCGTTAGTTGGCATTAGAGATAGATACCCCTAGGGGGAAGGGGCACGGGGGGGGACCACTCCACATTGATGGAACAGTGATTAACGCGGCGGAAAGATGCGGGGTAGTCCTGCCTTCCTCGCCATTCTGCTGGGCACGATATTCGGTGTCCTAGGTGCATCTCTGAGCAAGGCGCTCAGGTACAAGGCACCGGACGAATGCAAGTGGGTCACGACCGGCGACGCAGAGGACGACGTGTCGCTCGTGTGCCGTCTACGTACCATCAACAGCGAGTTGGAGAACACGAATTTCAGCGTGATACAGCCGCAGCACACGGTGCGCCTGCGGCTGGAATGCAGCGACGCGCTGTTCTACCAGAGTTCCCTGAGCGCCGGGAGCTTCAGGCCGCTGGTCGAGCTGCGCGAGCTCGTGATCGAGTACTGTAAGATCGGCAATCTGTCGGACGACGCGTTCAAGGGTCTCAGGGAGCTGCGCAACCTCACCGTGAGGACGCACAACACCGACTGGTCGGCAATGGCACTCGACGTGTCTGCCGGGGCGTTCACCGACGAACTTCGACAGCTGGAGAAACTCGATCTCGGCGAGAACAACATGTGGGGCATACCGGAGGGTGCGCTCTGTCCCCTGGTGAATCTGGAGGTTCTGAATCTGACGAGGAATCGACTCCGGGACATCACGGGTTTCCGCTTCAACGCGGCGGCGAGATGCCTGACGAACCTCAGGGAGCTGGATCTCAGCAACAACAGCGTCGAATCTCTGCCGAGCGCGGCGTTTTCCGGTCTGACGAGGTTGCACAGCCTGGACCTGCGATGCAACGCCATCAGCTTCATGGCGGACCGCGCGTTCGAGGGCCTGACGTCGCTGGCCATCTTGAGACTCGCCGACAATCGGCTTGCGAGCCTACCGCCGGAGCTCTTCAGCGACGCCAAGGATCATATACAGGAGATTCATCTCAGGAACAATACGTTGAGCGTCTTGCCGCCCGGTTTGTTCAGCGAATTGTCGCGGCTGCTAGTGCTAGACCTCTCGCACAACGAGTTAACAGCGGAATGGGTGAACGCGGCTACGTTTACTCGTCTGGTGCGTTTAGTGGTGTTGGATCTCTCGAGCAATCGTATCGCGCGGCTCGACCCGACCGTTTTTCGCGATCTATACAGTTTGCAGATACTGCGGTTGCAGGAAAATCTATTAGAGAGCCTGCCGGAGAACACGTTCTCGGCACTCTACAACTTGCACACATTGCTGCTAAGTGACAACCAGTTGACCGTCATAGACGCCACCACGTTGAGTGGCCTTTACGTGCTTAGTCTCCTCTCGCTGGACAATAACCGGTTGCACACGATACACCCGGGCTCTCTCAGAAACGCTTCGTCTCTACAGGACTTTCATCTTAACGGTAATCGGCTGACATCGGTGCCGGACGCATTGAAAGCCACTCCCCTCCTGCGCACCCTCGACCTCGGCGAGAACCTCATCTCCGAGATACCGAGCGGCACCTTCGACCACGTGGCGCAGCTGTACGGACTTCGATTAACTGAAAATCATATCGGCAATCTCACGAAGGGCGTCTTCGATCGTATCAAAGAGCTCAAGATCCTGAACCTCTCACGAAACCGCATACAGTACATCGAACCCGGTACCTTCGACGAGAATCTGAATCTACAAGCGATACGCCTCGACGGCAATCAGCTGACCGACATCGCCGGGCTCTTCACCAAACTCCCGAATCTCGTCTGGCTCAACGTGAGCGATAACAAGCTCAAGTGGTTCGACTACGCGATGATACCGACCGGGCTGCAGTGGTTGGACATACACTCGAACGAGATCCGGGAGTTGGGCAACTATTTCGAGATTGAAACGCAGCTGCAACTGAGTACCTTCGACGCGAGCGAGAACAAGCTCACGGAAATCACCGGCAACGCGATCCCCATGAGCGTCGAGCTGCTGTTCCTCAACGACAATCTCATCTCCAAAGTGCAGAGTTATTCGTTCTTCAAGAAGCCGAATCTGACGCGAGTCGATTTAAAGGGCAACCAGATACGGAATCTGGAGCCCTACGCGTTGCGCATCAGTGCGGTACCGTCGGACCGACCGCTGCCGGAGTTCTACATCGGCGACAATCAGTACCTGTGCGACTGCACCATGGAATGGCTGCAGCGTGTCAATCGGCAGAATCAAACGCGCGTGCAGCCGCGCGTCATGGACCTCGAGAGCATCTACTGCAAGCTCCTGTACGACCGCGAGCACGCCTTCGTGCCGCTGGTCGAGGCGTCGCACTCGCAGTTCCTCTGCAAGTACGACACCCACTGCTTCGCGCTGTGCCACTGCTGCGACTTCGACGCGTGCGACTGCGAGATGACGTGTCCGAACAACTGCACGTGTTACCACGATCAGTCGTGGTCGGCGAATGTGGTGGACTGCTCCAACGGCGGTCACGTGAACCGACTACCCGAACAGATACCGATGGACGCCACGCGTCTCTATCTAGACGGGAACGATCTGCGCGTCGTGTCGAGTCACGCTTTTATCGGCCGCAAAAAGCTCAAGGTGCTGTTTCTCAATTCGTCTAACATCGAGATCGTGCAGAACAGGTCATTCAACGGGCTGCGCGACCTCGAGGATCTACACCTGCAGGACAACAGGATACGCGAGCTGCGCGGTCACGAGTTCGAGGGGCTGGACGCGCTGCGGCAGCTGCATCTGCAACGCAACCACATCGCCGCGATCGGCAACGACACGTTCGCGCCGCTGCGCTCCCTGCGGATGCTACAACTGCAGAACAACCGTCTGACCACCCTGGCGATATGGTCGCTGCCGGGTTCGATCGAGATCAGCCTGGCCGGGAATCCCTGGTCCTGCGAGTGCGATTACCTGCAGAGTTATCGCGAGTGGTCGCGCGATCCGAGCGTCCGCGTCGCGGACGCGGCCGTGTTGCGCTGCGTGTATAACGTCACGGAATTCGAGGCGTTCGGTGACGAGGTGTTCGCGGACGACGAGTTCGGTTTCTCGATGAGCGCGGCACCGGGCGATCGCGAGCGCGCCGGCAACGAGAGCGCCGTCTGCACCGGCGCGATCAGCGTCGACAACGACATGCATCACAACTACACCAAGACCATTATCGAGAAGCAGGTCCTGCAGGATTATCTACCGCTGCTGGTGGCCACCTCGGCCAGCTCGCTCGTCGTCATACTTCTGTGCATGCTCGCTTTTGTGTTCCGTCACGAGCTGCGCGTGTGGTTTCATTCGCGTTTCGGCGTGCGGATATTCTATCGGAATAACGAGGTCGACCGGGACGATCGGGATAAACTGTTTGACGCTTTTGTGAGCTACAGCTCGAAGGACGAGGCATTCGTCGCCGAGGAATTGGCGCCGGTGCTCGAGATGGGCAACCCCTCGTACAAACTGTGCCTCCACTACCGGGACTTTCCGGTCGGCAGCTTCATAGCCGACACTATCGTCCAGGCAGTGGAGTCGTCGCGCAGAACGATAATGGTGCTGTCGGAAAACTTCATCAAATCCGAATGGTGCCGCTTCGACTTCAAATCGGCGCACCATCAGGTGCTGAGGGACAGAAGACGCCGGCTGATCCTCGTGCTGGTCGGCGACGTGCACCAGCGCGATCTCGATCCGGATATACGGCTGTATCTAAAGACGAACACGTATCTGCAGTGGGGCGACAAGCTCTTCTGGGAGAAGTTACGATTCGCGTTGCCGGACGTGCCGAACAACCAGCGCGCGACGCAGAGGACGAGGCAACCGCCGCCGGTCCGACGGCAGCACAACAACAGGACGTCCAATGGATCGCGCACGGTATCCGTCCACATATGAACCGCTCGTTGCAGTCAAATCCGAACGCGTCGAGTGTCGTTCGTGTCGAACGAGGCACTTGGCCGCGAGGGTACAACGGGAGGGACACGGGCTTTACGTTGGAGTATCTTGTATGCTCGGAGCGCAACTTCAAAGCGCGTACTCGGACGGTGTGCAATACGATGATATATTACAGAGTGTGTAAATACAAACGGAGGGTTTTATGTATAAAATAGAGCGTGACCGCGAGGCGTGATAAGAAGGCGTGTACATAGACGGTGTGTGATAAGAGTGAGAAGAAATTTCAGACGCGCTCTCACCTCGTGCGGAAATGTATATCCGGTGTGCGCGTGTGTGTGTGTGTGTGCAACACACACACGCAGATTCTGTTGTAAATTTATTGCAGCGCGTCTGGATGAGAGTAGTTAGCTGAAACTCGTTGTAAATAGGACGTCGTCCGCTCGGTCGCGAATCACGACCGGGCCGGCACCGTTATTCGGCTCGTGGAACGTGCGACGATTACGTTGGGTGCGTATACGTATGTGAATGTGTATGTGCCGTGGTCGTGGAGCGCAAGAGATGAGAGCCTGCAGAGCCCGTCGTGCTTCTGGTAGCCCAGCGGTGTGATCGTGTGCTTAAAATTCGCCGCTTCTTATCGTTATGCCGCCCGTTCGTGGCGTCGTCGAGATCGGCGACGTTATTTGTCGACTAGTGCAAATAATTTCGCAATCGGATCGGCAAACCGTACCTGGATTTTTCCGGGCGAATATTGCGTCGGTGTAATTATTCGGCAGCTGTCTCGCGCGCGCGGGTGTGTGTGTGTGTGTGTTCCTCCACGATCAATTCTTAAAGTAAAATATCGCTTAATATCGAGCCGAGAGTGTCTCCAGACTCGACTCGACTGTTTAGATAGCTTGGCTCAAGCCACTGCGCCAACAGTGATACCACTTCCTAATTATAATTATTATGTATATTTAATTGTATTTACACTTCTCTTCTCTCTGGTTGATGACGAATTTCATCCAGGAATACGAGCTTACGAGCATCACAGCGGTAAAAGCTGACGCTCCACGGTGATAACGAAAAAATTCTGAGCGCGCGAACATTGTAAAGTATTACTTTAGTCTTATTTATTTCGTTCCAATCGATAAAGAGACTTTTTATGCGATTTGAATGCATCATGTTTTATAAAACGCGAGAGTGATAGAAAAATGGAGATAACAGTGTATAACAACGAAGCTCGCTTGCCGTCGATTAACGATTAATTTAAGAAAACGTAATCTACGTTGCGGAATTTCTATTTGAATTCGACGGTCCCATTACTGTCAGGCGTACGTGAATCAATAAACGAGACTTTAAGTCTCGCACTTATAAAAATGTCTATTTATTATGTACAATCTCGTATACAGAATATAGATTGTACGTATATATTTTTATGAATGCATAACGGGAATACAGTACATTTATATTCATTGCACAGATGGCTCAATCACATTTCAGTAATAACTTCAGCATTACAAAAACGCTGGGATGCAGTCGGCGCAAGATGAAACAAACCTCACGTGACGGTATCTTATCCGAAATGCGACAGTCGAATTCAAAATGCGCGTTATGTCAAAGAAACTGAAATGCTGCTGCAAATATTCGAGATATAATGTACAAACGTGAAATCGTCTTCTTTAGCTTTCCTCGCAAGCGGTTATCACGTTTCGCAAACTGTTCGACACAACAAAAAAGATATTATTCTAGAATAAAAGCTATGACTGAATAATAAAACATTTTATTTTTATGTTTTTAATTCTTCTGTCTCATTCTGATTTTTGCCTTCCCCAATAACATTATAACGATGCCGGATTATATAATTTCAATTATAAGTCCTATAGAAATTACCAAAGAAATTCTCGGCTGTTAATGTGTCAATTATTTTTGGAGACACGCCAATTTTCAACATCCTCGCAGTGCATTGCGATCTTGGTTCTTAAAAATGCATTTTTTCAAGACAAAGTATTACTATCTTCAAGAGTACTTGTCGAGAGAAATGTCAAAGGCGCATTAAAGCGAATTTACAAATGGTATGCAATGCACTTCCTCATTTTCAGTTAATGCAATAAAATGACAAAGCGGTATACGCGATATTCCCGGCATGACAATTAAATCCACTATTTCGATGCAGGCTTTGTGCGCCATTTTCTGAGGTAGCTCGAGAACAAAACAATACTTTATGTTAATCGAGTCACGTCTGTATACATTGTCATCACGTCTTGTTACCGTTGCATCAGCGGAATAAGTAATATCTACCTGAGGATAATAGAAAAGAGACAATTTGGTTTGGTAGGAGACAGTTAAGAGAAAATTTCGTTTTACGTCCTATAACAATTGAATTAAATTCTTTCGTTACGCTATTCTAACTCGAATAAATTGTTGTAAACTATAACAAAAAAGATGCGTTTAAAGATACTAAAAACCGATGCAAATGTCGTTCTAAAAAAATTCTACATAGCATGTGAAATAAATTCTCATATTTAATATTCATAGAGAGAAATATTTTAAAAGGTATAAAATCACGTGCAAAAAGGAAAGTGATAATTACATCTAATAATACGATAAGAAATTGCTCTGAGAAAATGCAGAAAATCTGATTTGTTAGTTACGATCTCTGATCTTGTCGGGACGGCGCACGGCGCGGTGGCGTGCAATACCCGCGGGTAGCGTAGGAGCGCGAGCTAAATGAGCCACGCTAGAAAATTGTAGCTACGTGGAAAACGCTCGCGAAAGTTACTTCATTGCATGGCCCGCGATCGCGTGTAATCGTCGGTGTAATCAATGCCGGTGTAACGGCCCGCCAGCGCGAGCGATTCGATCGATGCGCGAAATAAGGTGGTAGTAGCGCGCGGACGATTGCGATATCGAAGAAGAATAACGCAAGTACACTCGTAACGGGGTGTCGCGGAGCGGCGCACGATAACGAATAATGCACGCAGCGGGAGAAGCACCGCGCGCGAGAGAGTCCCACCCTACATACCGTGACTGCCGGGGCATTTTGCGGTTTGGTTAATGACACGCGGAATTTGCAATCCGCATTGTATTCCGCGGCGCCCGTCATTTCCACCGACGATCGTAGTTTGCGATCTAACATTTGCCCGCGCGGGCGCCGAGCTTTCCGCGCACCTCTCGCGCGGCGCGCGTATATAGATAGATCGATCAATTCTGACGGACCGTTCACCGATGAGAACGCAGCGCGCAATATTGGTTATCATCATCCGCGCGTGACATTTAGCTCGGCGCGGGCAAATTATTTCCGACGACTAATCAAAACAATCAGCATCCACGATTAGTTCATCCGACACCTATTTCGCTCGCAACCGTGTCGTCATCCAATCGTTCGTCCAATTACGTTAGTCACGCGTACCGAGATTTTTATCCCTCAACAGTTTTTACCATTAGCAATTATCCTCGATACGAAATAAGGAGCTTGACGGGCAGAATGCACGGGAAATTCTAATCGTGACATCGATTTGTCGGGCAGATTGCGATCGACCGTGGTTGCGAGCGTCTCTATGGGACCGGTAACGAGTCAACGCTCCTATCTGCCGATCCTGTTCTGCCACTTTTGTAATTAACAAGTCCTTAACAACATATCACGGGTAAAACACTCTTTGCATCGCTTATGTTCCCCGTTGAAAGCGCCTGGTCAAGGCGGGCTCGTGGCCGTCAACCAGTCCCCTCGAGTATAATTTAATGTACTGAGAAAAATCGGATACCACTACAAGCCCTCGCGCGGCCGCGCGGCCGCGCGCGCAATGGCGAGAGAGGCGTGCAAGAGGAAGAAATTATATACGAACGGAAGGGCAAGAGATCGTAAGATCTCAATGGTCTAGATACTCCAGGCCCCGCACTCCCGGGCGCGGATAGAGTGGCGAAAGGAACGGAATCAGGCGTGTCTATCTCGCCCGGGATAAGTAATGAACCGGACAAAAAGCATTTTTTTGAACGCACGCGCGGCCTGATAATGCAAGATTGTGTAAGGGGAAGTTTATAAACCTGTTCCCCACTTTGTTCGTTTATCCGACTTAACAAGACAAGACGACATGCGCGCGCGCGACCTCGGCTAAGTAACGACGGGAGAAATCGGCGGTGCCGATGGAATCTGAAATTAAAGAGCGGTCATTAAAATTGATACAGCCCCGACGACTTTATACCGCGGCTCGAATCGAAGTGACTCTCTCGGCGACTCGGCGCGGCGGGCAGCGACTACGCGGAGCAATAATATCGAACCAAGCGCGGGGGACCAAGAGACGAGTCGATAGGATTACCAAGTACCGCCGGGATAACGGCTTCTCGATAAAACGACCCGCAAGTGAGGGGTTCTAATGCGCGTAAAGCCTCGTGGGGTCTTTACTGCGGAAAATAATGAATTAGGAGCGATAAAGCGCGGAGAGTGCGCTCGCTTATTCCTCGTCGCTTCTTTCGTCCGCGTCAGTCATAATAAGCCCGCCCGCTCCTAACGTTTCGCAGCTCGCTAACTCGTTCGCGTAGCAGTTAAAGTAGCTTCACCCGAGAATGCAGCCCGCGTCGACCTCCTTCACAACCATTCTCTCCTTCCCCCGTCCGCTAATCTGGTCGCCGATGCTTTATGCGGTATAACGGAATTTCTGTTTGCATTATCTATGCCGGAACGGCGCACGCCACTTGCACGCCTTCCTTCGTCGTCGTCGTCGTCGCGACCATCGTTCATCTTGACGTGGCCGTTGCACGGGCCAAGGCGGGATTCGAGGAGGGATTCGTGTTTCGAATCGACTTCGGCGATCAATTCAAATCGTCGTCGTGTCGGATCATTGAGCAGCCGCGTTTTATCACAAGTCGTTGAGTCGCCCAAGCCGCAAATCGCGCTCCCACTCGCGGGAAAGAAGAGAGAAGGTGCGCGCATGGCATCGCCGAGAAGAGATGGCTCGGAGTCGTTATTCCGGTTGAGATTTGCGAAATTCAAGCGGTACTCACCCGACGGGCATTAAATCATACGCAAGTCAGGATTTGTGTCACCTCCCGTGATTATACAGCCGTTGGAAACTGGGCGACGCGACTGCGAAGTGCAGGACAAACATAATCGTCCGCGACATAATCGCGGCGTAATCGTGATTAATTAAGATAACTCTCGAGAACTCTCCGTCTCTCCCCCTCTGTATCTCTCGCGCGCTCGTTCTCCCCCTTCGAATCTGCCTCGTCGGTAATTGCGATCTTTAAAACGCATTTTTCGATTCAACCAGCTAATCGCTGGTTGCGCAGCGTTACTTGCACATCTCTCGCGCTCGCGCGATGCGAGGAAGGATCGACGGAAGTCGAGCGTGAAAAAAGGAGAGAGCCGGGTACCCTCAATTACCGACCTCGAGCTCTCTTGTCGACTGTGAACTTTATATTCGCGCGGGTACGCGTACGCCGCGCCGCGCTGCGTAGTACAGTTATCGCGATTGAGAATTTAGTGTCCCGCTTGCATTGTCTCGCGGAGCGAATGCATATTTCACACGTGCGCTATCCGTACAGCCCGCGCCGCCACCGCCGTCGCCGCCACCGCCGTGTAGCCGCTGCGGCTTGCTGATTATACGAACCGTGATATAGTCAGTTACCCTCTCGCATATACATTGTCGCGGCGCATATAAGTCGCACGAGCGCGAGGGCACCGCCGTGTAACATCATAATAACTCGCAGAAATCATCCGTACTCTTCGTACGCGTACTTTTCGAATGCAGGCAAAAGCGGAATAATGGCACCGAAGCGCGCGACGCTGCTGCGGCATTCCAGGTAATGACCGGCAATTAATTTCGCCCCTTACTTTGTCACAAAGAAATATATCGCATCATCCGCGACCGTATTCTTGAAACGCGACACGCACATCTCGCGCGCTCGATTAATGGGTATTCTTGATATTAAAGGAAAATGTATGTGTGTATGCATGTAAGATGTATTAATATAATAGTTCGTGATAATTTTATGCATTTTCCAAACTATCAAAATAGTAAATTGTTATATTTTTTACATAAGCTATACTTTCTTAGAGTTTTGCACTACAATTTTGCGCAAAACATACAAGTTGATTACTATGTGTTTTAAGATAATAAGCAAACGTCGATGATGCTAAGATATGAGATATTTTGCAATTTACTTCGAAACTGTCGTGAACCGTTTACGACTGCAGCAAACGAGTTTCTAGTTTATCCTGTCAGATGCAATTAATCAGGAGCGGCGGTAGATAAATTTCTCCTGAAAGCAGATACGTCGATTTCTCGTCATCGATGATGAAGTCAGTTTGACGAACGTCTCTTGAGTAGAGACGGTATTTCGTGATTTCACGTTCGCCCGTTACGACGCGCGATCGTCGGATAAATGGACTTTTAACGAACCCCGCGAGCGCCGGATAATTCGATTTATTAAGCAAGTGTTGCCTCGTCCCGAACAAGCATCGCTAATATTGACGGAGGTGGATCTGCCTGTCGCTGCGAGACTGACACTGGCGGAAGAAACATTCCGAGGCGAGAGTTGCTCGCTCGATCGATTACAAAGCACTTTCGCGGAACATTGAATTGGATCCAATCTCTTCGGGTTCGACGAAAGAGAGAAAGAGAGAGAGGGAGGGTGGTAAAAAAAAATACAAGTTGCACCGACCGACCGACCGACCGGTGACTTTAATCAACTCTTTGCGAGCGCAACTGCTCGAGAGTTCGCGGGGCGTGTCGGGTACCATTCCGGCGCTCTCATG